CTACAGCTTTTTCTGCTCAGTGGCAAACACTGGTTGCATGTCTGCCAAATTTTCTTTGGACATTAGCTGAAAAAATACGGTAATTCCGCGAGGCCGTGCTCCGGAACTGAACTAGTTAGTATGGCAGAATTTTCAGGGAGTCACACGGACTCCTGCATATGTCAAATTAGGGAGTCCGACAGTAAATCAGGGAGTATTTGACTCCGGACTCCCGTTAATTTCGCACCCTGCAAGTGTACGTACCTATTAAGATGCTACTAGTACTACACACACCAGGGGAAAAATTACACACACCAGGAACTTTTTTTTCACGGGAGCTCTTTTTCAAAAGTCGGTAAATTTTTACGGGAGCTATTTTGAGCCTCACAGGAGCGATTTCAGAGGTTTGGCGAGCTCATCGCTCATCGCTCCCGTGTATTTTTTACCCTGACACACACGTACCTGACGTAGCCGGATACCAGCAGCGTCCCCACGAGCGCGTCGTCCTCACTCGGCACGAACCTCACCTCCTCCGCGAGCATGTGCGCGCGCCGATCGCGCAGCGCCACCTGGCGCTGCTTCTGCGCGGCGACGTGTCGCAGCACGACCAGCGCGTCGTTGGCGTCGTCCAGCGAGAAGACCTTCTCCTTCGGGAAGCGGCGCTCCACGCAGCGCTGGAGGCTCTTCTTCGCGTCGTGTCGGCGCTTCGGCGCGACCGCGTCCAGCCCCCGCACGACGTGCACGGACGACGGGAGCCCCTGCGCAAACAGCGCCGTCAGCAGCAGCTCGCCGCGCTCGTCGACGCCATCTAGCGGCGAGAGCAGGAACACGAGCGTGTCGGCGACCTTTGCGGCGTCAAGGGTCGCGACGAGGTCGCCACCAGGAGGCGCCACGAAGGCGAAGCGCGACTTGAAGCGCGGCGCGGCGAGGTGGACGATGCCGCGGCCGCTCTCGCCGCAGACGTTGTCGTCGGCGCTCGACCGCAGCATCGCGATGGCGTCCGCGGCGTCCACGCCCGCGCACAGCGGCACGACAGCGACCAGGAACGGTGGGACGCCGTCTCCGCCCAGGCGGCGCTTGCGAGCCGTCGCCTCCTCGCGCTTCCGCCCGCGAACTTGCTGCATCTTGTTGCGTCGCTCCACGCGGCTCGTCTCGCGCTTGTGCCGCCGCGTCGCGACCTTCACGTCGACCTTGCCCTTGTTGCTGTCGTCCAGCGCCCCCTTGCTGCGGTGGCGGCCATGTTTGTGCAGCTTCTTGGGCTGTTTGAAGGCTCCCGGTCGGTGCGTCTCCTGCATAGTGCGTATTAAACTACGCTGATATTAATAATACAAGTTTAGTTCTGATGATTCAGTGCTGGTGCAGAGAAACGGCCTCTCCGAAGGTTCAGCTCTGTGTTTGCTCAGTGTCCACTTTTTGTAAAGTCAAAGCATAAAAAGTTGCGTGTGGCATGAGCGCTCGAGCAGAAAACATTTACTCTACTTTCTTAGATTTTATCTCGATATTTCCTGCTTCGAAATCCTCTATGACCTTCCTCGCATAGACAGTATCGAATAAATCCTTTGATGTAAACTCAGACTGGGTCACGTCCGGTACCCGGTACGACACATAGGGTTTCAGAGCAAACTTGGTCAAATTCGGCACAACGATATCGGGCACTGCGTCCTTGTACAGAACGTGTCTGCTTCTGAACAAAAATCCCGTTCTCTGCACGCCTGTGTAATGCAGCTGCTGGTAGTACTTGCTCGCCTTTCCCGACTTGTGTTTTCCGGTCAGTGGGAATTTTTCCAACACGCGCTCCCTGTGACGAATGTTGGCTGGTAGCGGATACTTCTTGCGTTTCTTCGGGACGATGCCGTGTTGGCCACACAGCGGGAGGCTTGTGGCGAGTGAACGAGCTAGGTTGATCGGCTTACTAATTAAGGTAGCAGGCAGCAACTTTGCAAGCAACATGTCCTTTGAAACTGTTGCACATGAAATTGGATAAGTTATCCTGAAATAGAAAATGAAATCAGAGATGATAGCTCAGTCGTGCCGCCCGGATGGAAGAAGGTGTCGTAGCGAAAACGGCACTTAGATGGATGCCAGACGGGAGGAGAAGAAGGGGGAGACTCAAGGATACCTCGAGAAGGTCCATTGAGAAGGAGATGCGGATGTGTGACCTGTCAGGCGACATCTCGCTCTCTTGACTTGACCCCTTCCCTCCCTCTCATCATCATGCACCTCTTCATACAGTCACATGCAGTCTACAGCGTCAGCAGCGATCGGTCGATTACCTGAAGTGACTCCTGCAGTGTTACATCAGCCTTCTCCAGGGTCTTGACATCTTCCTCCATCTGTTCCACATCTGTGATATCCTAGAATTTAAGCATCGATATAGTTGAGCATCATGCTGCGTTTGCTTTCCTCAGTGTTCGAAATAAGGACGAAAATTTGAGGACGGACAAGCTACAAGATATTTTTGCTTGTCCTGAAATTTTTTTTACTTGTCCTGTTTAATAACAGAAATATAGTAAAATGTGTAATACATTTAATAAAATTAAATTTTAGACCCAATATCTTACTTTGTAATTTTAATACAGTTCACTAACAGTATTATCTAAAAGACGAATCGAAAATATGAAACGGACTGCAAAAACGGCGGCGGCCAGCAATGGTAGAAAATGAAGAAAAATTTGCCTCTAAAAAGTTGCTCTAAAAAGCTGCTTGTCCAGCAGACAAGCTACTGGACAGGTCTACTTGTCCTCCGTGGAAATGGACAAGTGAGGACAAACGGATAGCCCCTATTTCGAACACTGTTTCCTTCACCAGGCTTGTGAATCCAATCTCTCTCCACCGGTCAGAGGATGCTGACTGAGCAACCATTGCTGCTGTTGTCTTTGCCTATTTTTGTCTGTCTCTCTGGAACTCCCATGCACTTTGTATGTACATGATATATAGATCTATGTGTACATTATGAATTAGCTTCCTCAAGTAATCTTACTCATGATGAACCATCTAAAGCCTTCTGGTGACAACCCCACGCACACTTCACTTGGCTGAACAAATATAGCTAGACCGGCTGTTAAAACTAAATTGCCAAGATATCGTTACACTTGTATTTATCATTATGTAATAACATTTTATGATTTATTCTTTTTTTTTACTTATATTTCTTTACTTCCACAGTTGTACCTTTTACGTACATGTACGTGTGCATACACGTGTGCGTGTACGTACGTGTATGTATGCATATACGTGTGTATGTGCGTGTACATGTGTGTGTGTGTGTGTGTACGTGTGTGTATACGTGTGTATGTAC